GGGGCGAGCGCGAATTTAGGGGATGTACCCCGCTGCAGAGGAAGTCGACTTCTTCTGCCCCCGAGAACCTCCAGAGCCCTCTGCCCCCAGAACCTCCAGGTTCCCTCAGCCCTGCGCGCAAGAACGCCCCAATTCGCGTTGTGAAAGCAACCAGAAACCTAGATCTTGCATCGTCGACGGCGGCAACAGCACATTTTGCATTATTCTTGCAGCCCGATGAAATGCCTCAACCAGCCCTCTTCCACTTCCTCCGCGAGGGATGGCTGTACACAAACGCTGTTCGGTCCCAGAATAGGAGAGGCATTGGGGATGTTTCTACCCTTAGTGCAGGACGATCGTCGTGAAGAAGTCCCACTTCAGATTTGTGCAGCACATGTCTTTTGCCTACTCTGCCTGCCCTGAATCCCTCAGTGGTGAACACACAGTACAACGTCGTGACAACCGCGTCCAGGGCCCTGGCAGAGGTCGACCTAACCGGTGCTTGGGCGACTTTGTGGGCTGTTTTCGTCTCGACCTCGTCCTGCCGCCACCGCGACCCGGAGACACACCGAGAGCGAACACGAAACCGCTACACGAGCACGCAGAGCACTGCTGTGGTCCAGCCCCGAGCCCTGCGCCGGCCCCATCTCATTCGGCTCGGGCAAAGGGAACTATGCACATGCACCGATCCTGGCAAGGCCCATCCTTGACCCAGGATCGGTGCATATGCCTTCCTGGCCAAGGTAGGAGGGCGTATGCACCGATTCTGGGCTCAGGATGGGCCTGGCCAGAATCGGTGTATGTGCATAGCTCTTTTTCCTCTATCGGCGGCGTCCCCCCCGCCGGACCCGACCTCCGCGAGAGGGCCCCCGGGGCCCGAGAGCTGGGCGCCGAGCCGCCCCCCACGGACGCGCGCAGCGGCCGAGCGCCCCAGGCGGCGCGAATGGCGGGGGCGCCCTCGGGCGCCCCAGCGGCGCACTCTTTGGCCAGCCGCCAGCGGGGCGACATCAAGGCAGCCAAGCAGAGGCGACGAGCTGACGCACTTCTTGGCCACGCACACGACACCCGATTTCTCCGTATTCCCCGTCTTCGAGATCTTAGGGATGTGTTGGAGACGAATGTTCGTTCGCTTGTACGTATGAAGCTTGGCTTGAAGTTCGCGTGAAGAATGACAGGCGCGGCTGAATGTGCATGCGTGTGCTGCCGAATCGCTTGCGATTGTACTGGCATGGAAGAAGAAGAAGATGAAGCAGAGGTGAAGCGTCCTGGCTTCCCCACAAGCCCACCGGGTTCCCGAGACTGTCTCGTTTTCACACGTCGGGCTGATGCTCTATAAGAGCGCTGTTTTTGTTATTCGACCATGTCTCTGCTCTAAGAACAGGTCGTGGTAGGCCTATAGGAATGCCGGGACGGCCGGTCCCTGCTCAAGGCAAGCTTCGGGGAACGTAAGACTCGAGTACGCCGGAACTCTGGCTGGCCGACGCTCTTCGACGGCCGCGTCATGGGCTTTGACGGTTCAGTTTTCGTGGGACGTCTGCAGCGGGAGGTCGCACCAGGTGTCAGACTGGGTCTCGTCATTCTCATGATGGCCCCGTCGTGCCAACCCGAGTCCCCGAACCTGAGGTTCACGTCTCCCCGAAAGTCGGCAGGCTAGGAAAACGCCCTACCTACACGGTTGTCCCAGATCCCCAGATCAGGATTCCCAGATTTCTGGATTCCTAGATCCCCAAAGTAGGTAGGTATTTCTGGACTTCCAGATCCCAATCAATCTATTTCCAGCGCCTTCATACCTCAAGAATCGATCTGCTCTTGCTGTGTTCTGTTGCTCTCTACGAGGGCCTGGACCCCGTCTGCTTTGTCCGCCTTCCTGCCTCATATTTGTGTTACCTACCTTTTCTCAGAGCCCCGAATCATCAGGGGTAACTCGGGTCAGGGCTAACTCGGGCTCTTTTTTCGGAAAGCCGAACCCGAGTTACCCCGGGCCCGAGTTGCCCCGGATAATTCGGGCGCCCACTTTTCCGACGCGCACAGCCACTGCGATAAAACGTCCAGTGCGCACAGCATTGCAGCAAGGCCGGCCATCTCCGGGCACGTGCCGCGCGCCCCACCGCCGCCCCGAGGATGACGGCGACGGCGCTCCCGGCACGGCCGAAGGCGCGCGATCGCGCGCGCGCCCCCTTTCGAAGGAGAGAAAACGCCATACAGGCGCGACCGAGTAGTAGGTCGGCCCTGCCAGATCAAGGTCATTCCTCTCGCGGAAGGGTCTTGTGTCCGCTCGCGTGTCCTCTCCGATCAACCCCGACCGTGTACATGCTCTCTTGGCGCTCCGCGCTGATTTCGTGGGTCTGCGCTGGGACCCCCCTGGCGGTGCTTCTGGCGCCGCCCCTGGCGCGCTCCGCGCAACAGGGAGGGGGTGCAGGTCAGATCCAAGAAATCCGCTTGGAGTGCCGCAAGTTCATGTTTACGGCGTGCTGTTTGTCTTCTGCTGCCCTTGCCTGTTGCGGGGCACGGGCGCGTGAGCCCAGTCGTCCGTTTGATGAAGGAAGCACGACGACCAGCGGAGCGGGATCTTGTCCACGCCGATCTTAGTCATGGTCCATGCCAGCTGTCGCCGATGCGCGAGGGTGCTCCACGACTTGACGATGGCCAAGATGCACGAAGACCAACCTCGTCACTATTTTTTCCGCGTTTAGTCTTGGTCATGATCAGCGCTTTCTTTTCCTGCGTCTACGGCACATTGCGAACCCTACCCCTGCGGGTCCACTCGAATCTGGGGTATCAGACACTCTAGGCCTCCCGACAGGGGTCCGAGGATATTGGGTCGGAGGATCGCACCGCATCGCCGATGCATCGGCGATGCGGCTCGACGTGGGGCTCGACTTTCTCCACGCCGATGTCGCCGATGCATGGCCCACGTCGTTGGATGATGCTGCGCGATCCTCCGACCCCACCTGCTCGGGCTCCACGTGGGAGACCTCTCGTGCGAGACACCTCCGCCAGGACTCACGCGGCAGCAGGCACCGTCCGAGCTCTGAACCCCAGCCAGCGTTCGGGAGAGCGGATCTGCAGGGCCAGGGCCCTCGCGCCTCGCAGCCCTCCGCCCGCCTCGGGGTGCCCCTCGAGCGGGTCGTGCCCCCCCCCCCCCCCCCCGCAGGGAGCCATGCCCACGGCCCAAGGTCGCAGGCCTGGAGGCTGGCACCGACGCCAACATCGGCGGTGCTCCTGCGCCGGGGGAAGAGGATCCCGATCTCGGCGATGGTGGTGATGGTCTGGCTTCCAAGGTGACCGAACTACTACCACCAACACCGAAATCTGGGATCATCTCCCCCCTGTGGAGGCAGCCCCCCTGCCTTGGTGTTGGTGCCCATTTCCAGGCCTTCAACAAGGGAGGGCGCAGGCATCGAAGAAGAAACAACAGAACATGAGTAGAAACTTTCGGCGCTCCGCGCGGCTTTCTCGGATCCGCGCTGGGCCCCCCGGCGGCGCCTCAGGCGACGCCCCTGGCGCGCTCCGCGCGCCAGTGAGGGGGGCCCAGCGGAAATCCAAGCAATCCGCGCGGACCATCGAAAGTTTCAGTTTATGTGCTGGTGTCTTCCTCTCATGCGGTCCCTCTGCTCACGTCGCCGCACCCCTCACGTGGGTCGTGGCCTACCAGGGAGCTACACGTCCAGTTCCAGTGTGGGCGCCCGCACGCGGTCCCTCCGCCCATGTCGGCACACTCCTCCTGAGGCATCGTGCCCCATGGGGAGCCTCACCCACCTTTTTTAGTGAAGGCGCTAGTGTGCGGTCCTGCACACACACACACACACACACACACACACACACACACACACACACACACACACACACACACACACACACACACACACACACACACACACACACTTCGCGCTCATCGGCACGCATGTGTAGCTCCACCTACAGCACCGGGGGACTTGTTCGCATGTGGGCCCCGCGCCCACTTCAGCAAAGCCCTCACGCGGAGCGCGCCCAGTTCCCGCGGGCGTCTTCACATGCGGGCCTCCGCCCATTTCGGCACACCCCTCGCGCGGCCAGTGCTCCAGAGGCAGTTCATTGCACCTTTGCGCGACTGCTCCGCAGTCCCAATACCCGCATTGCCCCGGCCTTCATCCTTACCGCGGTGCACAGTCTGTGAGGAGAGGGACACGCACTGCACCACGCGCAGCTGCGCAGGGTTGGGCCCTTCGCCTGGCTAATTGGTACCGAGGTAGTTCCGTGCAAGAGTTGATGCGGGGACGTCCGCGATATCGATTGCCCCCACGGGCAAGAGAAGATTTTCACCGTGAGAAATGCCTGGTGCGTGAGTCGTAAAAGCTACATGGTGTACGCACATGTGTGTCCTGACCTTTCCCGTCCCGCCCAGTCCTGCCTAGCCATTTCGGTATGTCAGCTTGCCCCTGTGTATATCTCAATGCCGTTGCGTCTGTTTCTGTTAGTCGCTTTTGTGTGTTCTGCATACATGGCCGTGTCTATATGAATATGTCTATGGCTGTGCTTGTGTCATGTGCTCCTAGCTTCGTCAGTGTCCTTGGCTGTAAGGCTGACTCCCGTTCCCTCTTGGTCCGTCCCATCGTGTGTTGTATGAGGACTGCGGTTGTGTGCGTCCGTGGTTACCTGCATGTGTCTGTCTGTGTCCATCTATCTGCCGTGTTGCGCCGTCGTATCTTCTTGACTCGGAATGGCTTCGGCCAACCTTGGCAGCCCTCTGCGCGTGCCCTTTGACCCACCAGCCTCGCGGTGAACCCCGAACCTGGAGCGATGGATTCCAACTACGCGAAGTATGATTACTCCATTGCCGCGCAGTATGCGCGCGCGGCTCCTGAGCAGCAGAGCATGGGCAACAGCAATGCGCAGGTCCCCACTGTGATCGGAAGCTCCTTTGACCCAGAGGCTGGCCAGAGCGGAGGGGGCATGGTCACCCAGACCCCGACCTATCATATTAGCATGGAGACAGCGATATCGTCGCCACTGGGTTTCCGCCTGAGCTGAAAGATGCGGGGATGACAGAGGTTACATGGGGGGTCATCGTCAAGGCGGTGGAGGACGGCAAGAGAGACAACCCGTTCCACAATTGCCCGATGTGCGAGTGCATCTTCTGGTGTTTTCCGCTGCTTTGTTTGCAGTGCGTCTTGTGTCTCATGCTGAACCCCTGTGCTTGGTGGGCCGCCATGAAGACCAATCGGGGCGTGCGCTCGGCGGCCGAGACGGTGAGCCAGCAGCTGAAGCGAAGCAACCCGCAGTGGGATTGCAACGCGGAGCTCGGTGCTACGCGGAATTATATTGTGCTCTCTGCGCGCGCCCGAGATGGGCCATGTTTGTGACATGTGGTCGCACTTGTCTGAGGAATCACAGGGACACGATGAGCGTGGATCCACTGAATATTGCCTGCGAGCCGTGCTCTTGCGGGTCCAGGTAAGGGTTTGACCATGCCTCTGTCTGCCACGTTCGGGTGTTTGACATGTTCTGTTCTGCAGATCCGAATCAGCACATCCAGTTCGGCAGCATGCGTCCAGCAGTCAACCATGCGTTTGGGATACTTCGCCTCTTGGGAGCGTCCTGGAGGCCTCCTGGGGTGATCCGCCACGCTCCGCGCATCCCCACCGGCCTCGCGGCGTGCGTGCAGCCCCTTGCAGTGCGGCAGCCTCGCCGCCCTCTTCATCTTCCTGGTCCTGGTCTGAGCGGCTGCGTTTGGCTTCGGGCCGTGCTCCACGCGGGGCTCCGGCGGCGGGGCCGCACCGCAGCAGAGATTGAGAGGAGCTTGCGTCCTTGTCGTCCTTGTCGTCCTCCTCCTCCTCCTCCTCCTCCTCCTCCTCCTCCTCCTCCTCCCTGGATTTGTTTCATTAGGCCCTCGCGCGCCCCGCTCGGACCCTGACTCGCCGCTGGCGTTCTCGCCTGCGGCCGTCGACAAAAACGTATCCCCACCCGCCGTCGCCCTCGGCCGCCTCTTCGCGTTTTCGCCTGCCTCTGCATACGCTCTGTAGCTCTCGCCACCCTTGTGGCCCTCCTCCTCCTCCTCCCTCCTTCTCCTCCTCCTCCTCCTCCTCCTCCTCCTCCTCCTCCTCCTCCTCCTCCTCCTCCCCCTCCTCCTCCTCCTCCCCCTCCTCATCCTCCTACTCTTTCGCCTCTTAGCGACAGCAGGGCTTGCGCTACTCTTTCGGCTTTCTCTGACGGCGCGCGGCGGACAGCGTCGCCCGCGAGCAACGAGCATCCCCACCAACCCGTTCGGAACTGTTGCCCACCAGAGTTGACGGGAATAGGGGCGACCAGACACTTGTAGTGGAACAGTGCGGGCAACCAGGATGAACGGAGATCTTTGGGAGCAAAGGGGTAGTCTTGGAGGGCCTCTTCGGACCATCCTCGGGGCCCGCGTGAGGGGCGAGGGAAGGAGGAGGAGAAGGAAGAGGAAGGTGACGACGACGACCACGACGACGACCACGACGACGAAGAACATGAGGGAAATGACAAGGCAGACGATGAGGACAAGGGCGAGGACGAAGACGAGGAGATGGTGGAGTAGGAGGGCACTGAGGACGAAGAGAGAACCCTCACATCGCCTCGTCGGCACCCTCCTGGGACTCTTTTGGGGGATCTTGGTGTCCTCTCGGGGCTCTGTTGGGGGGTATTGGGGCCCTCTTGCGGGGCCTCTTTGAGCCCTCTTGGGGGTCCCTTGGAAACCCTGGAGGGCCTCATGGGGCCACGTCTTGGAGACGGTGGAGGGCCTCAAAAGGAGGCCCCTGGGGAAACCATGGGGGGCCTCAAAAGGGGGATCCCCGATGTGCCTCCCCCCCCCGCCCCCTCCCCCCTCTGGGGCCATCAAACTCGCCTCTCGGCGCCCTCCTGGGGCGCTCTTGGGTCGCTCTGGGGCGCTCGTGGGGCCGCCCGTGGGCCCTCTCGGACCTCTCTTGGGCCATGCTGGGGCCACCTGGAGGTTTCAAAAGCGCATTGGACGCGAACAGGCGAGAAGGCACAACTCGTTGATGTTCCCTGGGGGGTCCTGAGGGGGGCTCCAAGAGCACCCAGAACCGTCTCGTGTCCCTCGTTGGGCCTCTTGAGGGTATGTCGGAAATTATCTTGAACCATCTTTGGTTGTCTTGAGTTGCCGCGGAGGCCATTTTGGAGCATCGGAGGCTGTCCTTGGAGCCATCTTGGGCCTCCTTGGCCGCTCCAGCCCCTCCGTCCTCCCCCGTCCAGACCCAGGGAGGGGGGACGTAAACTTCCCCGAAGGGAAGAGGGGGTTTTTGGAAGAGGAATGAATAGAGCACCTGAGCCAACAGGGCTGGTGGGATGTTGGACCGCGCTGGGGCTTTGTTGTGGACCTCTTAGGGCTTTGGGGGGCCGTAGGAGTCAGATTCCACTTATACGACCACCCTTCGGGTGAGAAGGAGGTTGTGGGGGGGGAGAGGGGGAGATTCGGTCTCTTTACAACCAGAACAACCACTTTACAACCAGATGGGTTACTTTACAACCAACATAGGATTGGAAAGTATGGTTTTTCATCGAGAACGTCCACTTTGCAACCAGAACGGCCCACTTTACAACCAGAACGGACCACTTTACAACCAGAACGGACCACTTTACAACCAGAACGGGCCACTTTACAACCAGAACGGACCACTTTACAACCAGCTCAGAGTGGCCGCGCGTGTTTGGGCGTTCCGCAAAGTGCTCCAGAGCAAGTGGGCGCTCTGAAAAATGCCGAGCAAGTGGGCGCTCTGAAACATGCTCCAGAGCAAGTGGGCGCTCTCAAAAGTGCTCCAGGGCGCGCGGACGCTCTGAAAAGTGATCCAGAGCACGTGGGCGCTCTGGAGCCCGAGCGCCTGAACTCTTTGCGCAGGCCCCAGCGATGCCTCTGAGCCCGAGGACCTGGACGTTCTGCGCAGGCCCCAGCGATGCCTCTGAGCCCGAGGCCCTGGACGCTCCGCGCAGGCCCCAGCGATGCTTTTGAGCCCGAGCGCCTGGACGCTCTGAGCAGGCCCCAGCGATGCCTCTGAGCCCGAGCGCCTGGACGCTCTGGCGCTCTGAGCCCAGCAGACTAAGACAGGGCTTGCTAGCAGGGGCCAAGCGGCCTCAACAAGGGCCCCGTGCTTGCACGGGAATAAGGCGACAGCGTACGTAGGAAGGCTCAGGGCGACGCGCTGCCCATTTTAGGGGTCACTCACAGGAAGCGGGCCCAGTGGCCTCCACAAGGGCCCAGCGCTCCAGGGAACCAGGCCATTGACACCGCGGGTCTCTTGGGCCACGTTGGCCCCTGAAGCCCCACGGTGTTCTGCAAGGGGCTAAGTGCGCCAGCTCCAGTTGGCCCCCTGCTGCTCCTCGTCTTGGAAGATCGGATTCAACGTTCCGAATAAATGCAACTATTTCGAAGATCGTTTCTTCCAGCGTCAGCCACAGTGCCAGCGCAGCAAAGCAGGTATCCTGCTCGGGCAGCAGCCTCAGCCACCGTGCCAGCGCAGCAGCTTGAGCCACCGTGACAGCGCATCGCCGCCACCTTTGTGCCTGCTACCACCACGCTTACCGCTGCAGCCCCGCTACCTCCACAATTCCGACTGACCCCCCGCTACTACCGCAAATCCCATTGCAGCCCAGCTACCACCACAGTTCCCACCGTTGCTTGGCGACCGCCACAGCTGCCACCGCAGCTTCCCAACACCATGCAGTTCCCATTGTAGCCCCCGCTACCACCACATCTCCCACTGCAGCTTTCCACTGCCATGCAGCTCCAGTCTTGGACGGGATCATGGTTTATTCGTACACCGCACTCGCATCTATACCCCTGTGTGGGTGTATGTGCGGCCGTTTTTGCGCTGTCATGTGCGCGCATGTGCGCGGCATGTGCCAATCATGTGCCAGGCCTGTGCGGCCCTTCTTGGATGGACTTCTTACTGTGCACGTCGAGCCCGGGCATGTGCGGGGGCATGTGCGCTGTGTTTTGGTGTATCCATCATACGCACATGCACGCACAGTCCGACGCACATGCGCGCACATGCCTGCACATGCGGGAGGTATTCGAGAATCGCAGATCTGTCATCGGCACATGCACGCACATGCCTGCGCAACCTATCTTCGGGAGGCCGCGCGGGCCCGCACATGCACGCACATGCGGTGAGGCGCGCGGGCGCACATGCGTGCACATCCCAATGCACATGCACGCTCATGCCCTAGGAGCTGTCTGGGACCCCTGTGCCTCCAATGCCTCCTGGCCTTCGCAGAGCTAACCTGGGGCGTGCCAGGGCTTCCTGAAAGAGTTTGTTGTGCGTTTAGACTCGCCCGCTGCTGGCGGGGGTGGTTCTTCGCCCGGTTCGTGAGCTGGCGGTGGAGTGCCCTCCTAGTAAAATACTCTCCCGCGCGCCTTCTCAGCTCGGCCGGAGAAGCAGGGGTGGGGTGGGGGAGGTGGAGGGGGAGGGGGAAGGAGGGGGGGGCGGAGGAGGCGGGCGCCCCCGGCTCGGCCGGTCCGCCCGCCTGTTCGGTTCGGCCAGAGGAGGAGGAGGAGGAGGAGGAGGAGGAGGAGGAGGAGGAGGAGGAGGAGGAGGAGGAGGAGGAGGTGAGAGTTGTGAGGATGTCTCAGGCGAAAGTGGCTTGACGGCCCGAGCTCAGGGAATCTCGGAATCGCTGGCCTGGCTCGGCCACTGGCGAGCTCGGCCTGTGCGAATACTGTGCGTACCTGTGCGGGGCATGTGCGGGACGTGCAAGAATGCCGGGGCCGACGTTCGTCTCCGGGCGCCGGCGCATTCGCGTCCGCGCGCAAGCCGCGCGCGGACGCAGCGTTCGCTTCATTGCGCGGCCCCGACAGACGGGGCGCCCCGCTCACGCTCCGCACAGGCGCGGCTAGTGTCTCGGCCTTTTCCGCCTGAGACCCTCGGAACTCTGGTTTCCGAGATGCCCTGATCAGGTGGTCAGGCCACTCCTGCCTGAGACACCTCGCAACTCTGGGTTCCGAGACGCCCTGGGCTGAGGTGGTCAGACCACTCTCGCCAGAGACATCCTCGCAACTCTGACGTCAGAGATCTCTTGCCCCATGGTGGTCAGGCCACTTTCGCCTAAGACATCCTCGCAACTCAAGACCTCGGAGGTGTCCTGCCCCATGGCCCATGGTGGTCTGGTCACCTTGACCAGCGACATCCTCGCCATTCTGGTTTCCAAGATGCCCTGCCCCATGGTGGTCCTGCCACGCTTGCCTGAGACATCCTCACAACTCTGGGTTGCGAAATGCCCCGAGCTCAGGTGGTCAGGCCACTATCGCCTGCGACATCTCTGCGGCATGTGCGGGCATGTGCGTCTACATGTGCGTCTATGCTTTCAGAGGTTTGCTTGGCCGTGCATTCGACTGTGCGTCCGACGGTGTGGCATGTGCGCGCATGTGCGACAATGCTGTTGAGGTTTTTGTATATGTGCATGGGCATGTGTATGCGACTGTGCGGCATGTGCCTGCATGTGCGGCCCCTTTCGGACCGCAATTTCAAAGTGAGCACTATAGAAGTGAGCGCTATAGAAGTGAGTCCGGTGTATGTCCTGCGCGACTAGCCTTCGCCCGTCAGAAGAAAGGCAGAGCAAGCAATGGCAGAACTGACCGACAGAGCTTAGAGAGCAGGTCAAAACTCGAATCCGCCCACCAGCACGCAACATGCCATAGCGCACCAGGTCGCCGCATCGCCAACTCGCGCGCAGTGCTTCTTCGTGCGCGACGGGCAACTTTACAACCAACATGCCTCAAAGAGCCCAAAGCCACCCTTGCGCTTGCCCACGGAGATTTCAGGGAAAGGCACGCGTGCATTCAATATGTGTTTTTACTTGCCTGGTTGTAAAGTGCCCCTCCTGGTTGTAAAGTGCCCTTCTCGGATTATGTAAGCTGGTTGTAAAGTGACCCATCTGGTTGTAAAGTGCGCTTCTGGTTGTAAAGTGACCCACACGCGGGAGAGGGGGGGACCAACATCTGACTCAATCGATCTCACTATCGATCTCCCTCAACGGGACACCACGGGACACTTGTCGATTTCACTATGGATCTCACTATGGATCTCACTTGTTGGGACACCACGGGGCACCACGGGATACCGCGGCACACCGCGAGCCACCGCCGGACGGACGGACGCACGGGCGGGCGGGGGCGAATCATTTGTCTTGACTTCGCCCTAGCAACGGCGGACACCACGGGAATCCGCGGGACACTGCGGGCCACCGCCGGACGGGCGGGCGGGGGAGAATCATTTGTTTTGACTTCGCCCTAGCAACTTCGGACGCCACGGGACACCACGGGAAACCGCGGGCCACCGCGGGCCACCGCCGGACGGGCGGGGGAGAATCATTTGTCTTGGCTTCGCCCTAGCAACGGCGGGTTCATCCCTCTTGCGCGCCCACGCAGCTTCGCCTCGCCCGCACGCACGACACGAACGAAACGAAACGATTTCCCGGTTGGTGGTCTCCATTCCACCGCGATCTCACCCCCCAACCTCCGATCTCGGAAGCCATCGATCAAACAAGGAGTGGTTCTTAATCACGACCCCCTCCGTCTGAGCCCGACTCAATGTCTCTTTGGGTGCTCTTTGGGCGCTCTGGGGGGCACTCTTGGGCGCCCTTGCAGTCTTAGGCGTTCGTGAGGCCGTCTCGAAGCCCCTATGAGCACCACCTCCATCGTAGAGGTGATCGTGCATCGCGATGCCGGTGGGACCCCTCCCGCTGCGGCCAGCACTGCAGCACCTCGGCTCCCGTGCCTGGGTGAGAAAGAACTTTGCAACCAAGCTCAATCCCTTAGCCGACAACCGAGAAGCTACGACAACTTGCGTCGGAGAGTGTTTCGTCCGTGTCCTCATTCAATTGTCTCTTCCTTCAGAGATCCGTTAAGAGGCAATGGAAGAGCTTGTGGTGGAGGTCGTCCGACGCCCCTCGCACCATGCAACCCTCTTACTTTTGAGCTCGACAGTTTCCTCGTCCCATTTGCTTGTTATGCCGCGTAAATGCTCTCTTATGAATGATTGATTATCTACATGCCCCAGCTCTTTATCGCTTTTCCTTCTGGGTATGTGTGGTTGCTAGTGAAATGCATATCCCTACTTCTCGCCCACCTAGTCTCGGAAAGCCAGGTATAATTGGGAAATGTTTTGATGTCATGCTTTTGAACTCGATCACCCCCTCGGTCGACTGGTCAGAAAACGCGACCACGTTTTCATATTGCTCTCGGCACCATGTTGATTTACCGTTTCTGTCACTTGCTTGATGAACTCGTCCTCGTCCACGTTTTCTTTGAGACCTGTCACGATCGCCTGAAGTTCTTGGATACCCTGGTAGATTGCATCTTCAGCATTCCATGGTACATTCGCTAGGCCTCCACCTCCTCTGAATGCTCTTCCCCCTTGTGGTTCATGATTGTCCTCATGACCCCCCATCTCGTGTTTCATGATATCTTTCACCACTTGTGGCAAATCCCTGACAACTTTCATGTCCGCCTTAACCCTCTTCAGACCCGATGTTGCATTCACGACCTCCGCCATGGCCCTTTCGGCTGCATCACTGGCGATGTGGGTTGTGTTTTTCATGTCGTTCATTTACGGGCGCAGCCCGTAATTTGGTTTTCGGAAAGTAGACAGAATTGACTGACAGAACTGAACTGAATCACCAAAGCCGTGGTGGGAGTTTTCATTTCCGGGGCTGGAGGATATTTCGCTGGCAGGTTTATGTCAGGGGTTGAGGATATCTCGCTGGCAGTTTTAGGCCAGGGGCGGTGAGGATATGTCGCTGGCAATTTTGAGCGACGGGTGTGAGGATATTTCGCTGGCAGTTTTTGGCCATGAGGTGAGGATATGTCGCTGGAGGTGTTCACCCTAGGGATGAGGATAATTTGCTGGCAGGTTTGAGTTTAGGGGTTAAGGGTATCTAGCTGGCAGTTTTAGGCCTGGGGATGAGGATACTTAGCAGGCAGTTTTAGGCCAGGGGCAGTGAGGATATTTCGCTGGCAGTTTTCGGTCAGGGGGTTGAGGATATTTCGCTGACAGTTTTCATTTTAGGGGGTGAGGCCACTTAGCTGGCAGTGTTAGGCCAGGGGCGGTGAGGCTATTTCGCTGGCAGGCTCAAGCGAGGGGTGTTCGGATATGTTGCTGGCAGTTTTGGGCCAGGGGGTGAGGATATTTCGCTGGCAGCAGTACGGCCGGGGGGATTACGGCCGGGGGGAGGGTATTTCGCTAGCAGTTTCAAGCGAGGGGTGTGAGGATTTGTTGCAAGCAGTTTAAAGGGATGGGTGTGAGGATATTTCGTTGGCAGCTTCGAGCGAGGGGTGGTGAGGATATTTCGCTGGCAGGCTCAAGCGAGGGGTGTGAGGATATTTCGCTGGCAGTTTTAGGCCAGGGGGTGGAGGATATTTCGCTGGCAGATTCAAGCGATGCGGTGTCGGGATATTTCGCTGGTAGTTTCAAGCGAGGGGTGTGAGGATATTTCGCTGGAAGCTTTAGGCCATGAGGGTGAACATATTTCGCTGAGGGATGTGAGGATATTCCGCTGGCAGTGTTAAGCCAGGGCGGTGGGGATATTTCGCTTGCAGTTTTAGTCAAGGGGCGGTGGGGATATTTCGCTGGCAGTTTTGGACCAGGGGGTGGAGGATATTTCGCTGGCAGTTTTAAGTTGAGGGGGTGCTGATCGTTAGCTGGCAGTTTTAGGCCAGCTGCGGTGAGGACATTTCCCTGGCAGTTTCAAGCCAGGGGGTGAGGACATTTCGCTAGCAGTTTAAGGGATGGGTCTGAGGATACTTGGCACGTTAGGGGGTTGAGGATCTGTCGCTGGCAGTTTTAGGCCATGCGATATTTCGCTGGCAGTTTTGAGTTCAGGGTTGAGGATATTTAGCTGGCGGTTTTAGGCCAGGGGCGGTGAGGGTATTTCGCTGGCAGTTTCAAGCGAGGGGTGTGAGGATATGTCGCTGGCAGTTTTAAGCGAGGGTTGTGAGGATATGTCGCTGGCAGTTTCAAGGCTGGGCGGTAAGGATATCTCCCAGACGTGACCAAGCAGCACCATGTGCCACGCACGAGACGACGGGAGGGATGGGTGAGAGGGAGGATGGAGGACGAGGACGAAGAGGAGGTGGCAAAAGGTGGGGGGTCGGAGGTAGGGACTGAGCGGAGTCGTGGTCGATGCGGGCATCAACGCGCCACTCTATGCAGTGCTGGGTCTTGCCCTGCCTGGCCCAGCCGACGGCTACGCATGCAGCGCGGCGCTGCGGTCGTATGTATGCTCGCCCCTTGCTGGGGGGTTGGCGGGGGGCCAAGGGGCAAGCTGCCTGGTGTTTTGTTCCCTCGTCGTGGTCATCGTGTCGAACATCTTAGTGATCGTTTTCTTCCGCGATCGACGCTTGCCCGTATGTTTCCTCGAGTCGGGAGAAGGATTGACCCACTTAGGAATCGACATGTTCGGAGTTGTCCTAGTTTGTTTCTCTCTCGCTTGATCCAAACCGCGCCTTGAGCCAACTTGAGCCAACTTGAGCTTTGAGCTAATGGCCTGGTTGGGAGGCACATCGGGGTCTCTTTGGGGTGGTTTCGGATCTTGGGGATACCTAAGGGCCTCTTGGGATCCTCTTGGAGTCATGTTGGGCGTCTCGTGGGTGCCTCTTGGGATCTCTCGAGGGCGTCGTTGGGACCTCTGGGGGGCTCTTTGGGGCTACCTACGGGGGATACATGCTCCGAAAGCCAGTTCGGTTTCCTTGGCTTGGGCCCCTCTTTGGCCATATGGTGGGCCTCTGGGGCAGTGTTGGGGCCATCTCGGTAGTATGTGGGCCCTCTTGGACTGTCTCGGGGTCCTCTTGGGGGCCTGTTCGGGGCCTCTTGAGCCATGGTGTAGTGGCCATGCTTGGGGCCTCGTGTGCGGGCTTGGGCGCCATGAGACGCCGAAAGGCGAACATTAGGCGACTTGTAATTCAAGAAGCAAGTGACATAGGGCCGTCTTGGTTGCAGAGTAGGCCCTCTTGGACGCATGTAAGCGAGATGTCAAACGTGCCATGCTTCTTAGATGTTGAAAGATGTTGGTTTCTCGATAGCTTGCTTGAGAGGGTCAGAGACCAATTTGAATCGTCTTGCGGCGGTCTTGATGCATATGAGTGCCTCATAGTTGAAGCGATTCAACCATCTTGAACTGAGTTATGCCGTATTCGAGGATCTGGGGCACTGCGTGAGCATGTTGGGGCATGTTGGTCCGGACGCCGTATCGTGTCGCAAACAATCCTTTCCAGACCCAGGGGAGGGTGTAGCCTAGGTGTACCCCCTCCCACAGAGGAGAAGAAGGAGGTTGACATAATGAGATCGCTAAACCATCTTCGCCCAGAGGGGCTTGTGGGATTCTTGGAAATGGTGCACGCGATGTTCTGGCCACGTGCGCCACCCTGCGTTTTGCATTTTGGGCGCAGGAAGTGTCTCAGAGCGCACTTGTGCTGTTACGCACTTGCTCAACCATGACTCATTCTAGCTGGGTCGCTCGTCTGCTCGCGCAGCGGTGCCTTGCTTTCGATGTGTTTCCGCCTCATCTCATCGAGGAAAAAGAACCTCTAACCCTAATGTTCTTGGTCGCGTCCCAAAGGGTGAGGGCACCTTGTATGCCTAATCATCATCATCATCATCATCATCATCATCATCATCATCATCATCATCATCATCATCATCATCATCATCATCATCATCATCATCATCATCATCATCCTCTGCCCCATTCCACGCTCTGCCTCTTCTCTCCTGCGTGATGCTTGAGAGCGCAGCATTCCTGTACTGCCCGTGCTCCTGTTGAGATCTCGCCGGGACGGGCGCGGAAATCTGCAGCCAAAGTCCACGTCTCGGGCGTACGTCTCTTATGCTCATTCATCCAGTGGCGTTGTCGCGCATATCCGCAACCGCGTTTGTAGAAGCGACACAGCGAGGCAGCAGCTGGGCGAGGTAGGCAAAGGCCGTTGTGGGCCAGGGTCTCCCACGTGCTCCCGGAGAGTTCCACGGCGGCCCCAGCGGGTGCCAAGATGGCCCCCGAGAGCTCCCGCAGTCTCGAGGCCAGCCCAGAGTGTTCCCAGCAGGCTCCGAACAGTTCTTTCGAAAGTTCACAAGAGGTCCTCAAGAGACCGAAGATCGGGTCGGGCGAAAGGGGGGGATTGGGAAAGGGGGGGTTACGAAATTTGCTGCATGCAGCTGGTTTCGGCCTCACCAGGGGCCCATTCCTCGATACATGGCCGCTCCCGGCGCCGGCAGGCGCCGGGAAAATCAGCTACGTGAGCTGATTCTCAAACCCCCCCTTTGCTATCCCCCCCTTTCGCCCGACCCGAGAAGAGGGCCTCTAGAGCCATCGACGGCCCACGGGGTCCATCGGACGCCTGAGGCGGCAGACTGGGTCGACTGACCAGCACCGAAGATCCGCGTGGCAGGCCATCGTCCAGAATTGGTTCTGGCAGGGTCGCTGAATCAACGCCGACGTGGAATCGTTCTCGGCGGGATCCAGAATTACCTGAGACGACTCACAAGAGACCTCAGAGGTCAGGGCTGAACCTAATCGAGGTTCTTCGTTTTCGTTTTCTCGTTTTCCCTCGTTTTCTCTTCAATCCGCCTTCACCGCAAAACGAAGTCGAACCGAAAACGGCCAACGAAAACGCCAAAACACCGTTTACGTCCAGCCCTGTCAGAGGTCCCCTGCGAGCGCTCCAAGACCGCCTTTTGAGGGAACCTCTAGGAGCCACCCAGAAGGGGCCCACATTTTCCTTCAGTCGGGGGTAGACAGACCTCCTACCTTGACACGTCGATTAGCGAATTGGCCGTTTTCGGTTCGCGAGAGGGCGTCGCGGCCGTCATTTTTGCGGGTCCAGGTCCGTCGGTTTCGGTCCCAGGCCGTTTTCACTAAAGGGAGGTTCACTGAAGGGAGGTGTCCACCGCCGATTCAATTCAAAAGGGGCGGCGCGTGAAGTCATTCATTGCCGCGTTTGTCGTGGGTCGTAAAGGCAGGGGGATTTGGGGGATGCGTTCGCTGTGCCAGAGATCTGAACGTCAGCGTTTTTGATGGGCTTCTCGGGGCCTCCCGGAAACTTTTCGGAGGGCCTTCGGGGCCTCTTGCGAGGGTGTCCCCGGAGCTTCCGGGGAGCTCGGGGACCCGTGCAGGACTCTCCAGCTTGGGGGCTGCATGCTTACAGAGAAGCTCTCGCGCCAGACATACTCATTAAATAGCGAGGTTGAGCCCCAAACGCTATCGTACAACAGCACTTTCAACACCTCCTTTTCCTTCTCCTCTACCTTCTCCTCCTCCTTCCCCTCCTCCTCCTCCTCCTCCTCCTCCTCCTCTCCCTTGCGGAGGTTGCAAAGCGATAAAGTTTGAGAAATGTTTTGGGGAAGATCTGCGGGAAAATCTGAGGGATGAAGATCTGGGGAAAGATCTGGCGGAAGATCTGGCGGAAGATCTGGCGGAAGATTTGGCGAAAGATCTGACGGAAGATTTAGCGGCAGATCAGGCGGAACATGTGGAGTATATATTTGGTGGAAGATTTGTTCGTCCTGCTACGCCTCGTCTTTCTCCAGATCTTCTGCCGAATATTCCTCCAGATCTTCCGCCAGATCTTCCGCCGGTTTTTTCCGCCAGATTTTTCGCAAGATCTTCCTCCACATCTTCCGTCAGATCTTTCGCCAGATCTTCCGCCAGATCTTACGCCAGATCTTCCGCCAGATTTTCAGCCAGATTTGCATTCCAGATCTCCCGCCAGATGTTCTGCTATATTCTCCGCCAGATCTATCCTCCAGATCTTTCGCCTGACCTTCCTACAGATCCTCCGCCCGATCTTCCTCAAGATCTTCCGCCAGATATTCTGGAAGATCTTCCGCTAGATTTTCCGCAGGATCTTTTGCCAGATCCTCCACCGGATCTTCCTCCAGATATTGCGCCAAATCTTTCTCCAGATCTTATGCGAGATCTGCCGCCAGATCTTCCGCTAGATCTTCCGCGAGATCATCCAGCAGATCTTCCGCCAGATGTTCTTCCAGAGTTATATTCCACATTTTCCGCCAGACCATCCGCCAGATCTTCCGCCAGTTTCATCCTCCAGATCATCCGCCATATTTTCCGCCACATCTTCCGCCAGATCTCCCGCCAGATCTTCCGCCAGATCTTTCGCCAGATCTTCCGCTAGATGTTCCGCGAGATCTTCCGCCAGATCTTCCGCCAGATGTTCTTCCGGATCCTCTGCGAGATTTTCCGCAAGATCATCCTCCAAATCTTCCTCCATATTGATATTTTTCATCTTGTGCGAGATCTTTCGCCAGATCTTCCGCTGGACCTTCCGCCAGAGTTTCCGCCAGATCTTCGTCCAGATCTTCCGCCAGATTTTCCTTCAGATCTTCCGTCAGATCTTTCGCCAGATCTTCTGCGAGATCATCCGCCAGGTCTTCCGCCAGATCTTCAGCCAGATCTGCATTCCAGATCTTCCGCCAGATCTTCCGATCGTTCTATTTTCCGCCAGATCTATCCTCCAGATCTTTCGCCTGACCTTCCTCCAGATCCTCCGCCCGATCTTCCTCAAGATCTTCCGCCAGATATTCTGGAAGATCTTCCGCTAGATTTTCCGCAGGATCTTTTGCCAGATCCTCCACTGGATCTTCCTCCAGATACTCCGCCAAATCTTTCTCCAGATCTTACGCGAGATCTGCCGCCAGATCTTCCGCTATATCTTCTGCGAGATTTTCCAGCAGATCTTCCGCCAGATGTTCCTCCAGAGTTATATTCCACATTTTCTCCAGATATTCCGCCAGTTTCATCCTCCAGATCATCCGCCGGATCTTCCGCCAGATCTTCCGCAAGAATTTTCGTCAGATCTTCCACCAAATCTTCTGGCAGATCTTCCGCTAGATGTTCCGCGAGACCTTCCGCCAGATCTTCCGCCGGATCTTCCGCGAGATCTTCCGCCAGGTCATCCTCCAGATCTTTTTCCAGATTGATCTTCTCAATCTTCTGCGAGATCTTCCGCCAGATCTTCCGCCGGATCTTCCGCCGGATTTTCCGCCAGATGTTCCTCAAGATCTTCCGCCAGATCTTCCGCCAGATCTTCTGTCAGATCTTCCGCCAGATGGTCCGCGGGATCGTTTGCCAGATTTTCCGCTAGATTTTCCGCCAGATCTTCCGTCAGATTTTCCGCCAGATCTTCCTCCCTCAGATATTTCCGCAGCTATTCCCGAAACATTCCTCCAGATGTTTCGCTTTGCAACCGCGTCAAGTCTTCCCTTGGACACTCCCAGATCTCTCGGCAGATGTTTCCCAGATGTTCCTCCTGCTGTTCCAGGGTGTTCCTTGTTTTGTTTCATGCCGCGTCGTGGGTCCGCTTCTTGTGCTTTAAATTCCTAGTTTGTTTTGTCTGCCTTGCTTCGGGGCTGCAATCTTTACGGGGCATCCTAGAATGTGAACTTCCTTCCTTTTAAAATGCCTTGTTATTAAACATCCCTGTAAACTCATAGAACACCACATTTTCTTGCAACACTTATGTTCATAATTCAGCGTTTTGGAGGAATCTTGGAGGTAGGTTTTTTGGGGGACACACTTGGATTACCCCCAAGACGGCTGAATATGTAGAAGCATTGAAAAACGATGTGTTGTGTAACATTTACAGTCAGAACTAAGCGTTTCGGGGGCGTTTTGGAGGCAGTTTGTGGGCCGTGTCGGGGGCATCTTCGAGGCATCTTGGAGGCCTCTCGGGGGCGGGCGTCTTGGAGGGAGTCTTGGGGGCTTTTGGGGGGACTCTTTGGAACCTTTTGGGGCCCCCTGGGGCCTCTGGGGTCTCTTGAGTGCCTCTGAGTGCCTCTTGGAGGCGTCTTGAGGCCGAGGGCTTGAAATTTGATTGTGTTCCCCCCTTTGGGCTGTCTTGGCGCCTTCTTGGGCCAGCTTTGAGGGATCTTCGGGACTTCTGGGGCCGTTTCGTGTCAATCTGTGAGGCCCTTTTGGGCCGTCTCGGACGCTGTAAAAGAGGCGAATCCGTTGAATATGAACGCCTTCCTGAAGGAATGGGACGATATTTGCCTCTTGGGACCCTCTCGGGAGGCCTCTTGGAGGCCCCTTGGGGCGTCTTGGAGGCTTGTAGGGCCGTCTTGGCGACATCTTGGCCGTTTTGGCGCGATCGTTCGGCGACTCGGGGCCTTCCTGGAGCATTTTGGGGTCTCTTTGGGCCCTCTTGACAAGTTTGGGGACCTTCTAGGCCCGTTTTGGCCATGCGAACGAGCGGGCTGGGGGGCGGGCGAGCGCTGGGGTCCATGGAACCTCCTTCCCAAAATTTCGTATTTGGGCATAGCTTCTGCCTGGGAAGGCAAAAGCGCAGGGACCTGGTATGAAAGCATTTTCGGCTCGATGCGCCGGGGTGCCCCAATCTGTTTCACAAGAAGTGAAAATACAAGTGACCCTTCGCCGGAGTGACCTTTGGTGCTGACCCAAAGGGGGTCGGGTGATTTTTCTTGTGGAATGAGCTTGGCCTCGCGTCGGCACCCGCATCGCGCGATTACGCTCGCATCTGAGCGCGCCAGGTTCGGGCCCATCTCTTGCAATCGACAGCAAAGCAAACGCGTTGCACCCTATAGCTTGCATTGGTTACCCGAGGGGGAGCCGGTTGACCAGACGGCGCGCTTTTCCGGCCCAGGATCAGTCCCGAATCCCAGCCCAAATCCCAAAACGTCTGGCTTGAATATCTTTGGATATATTTGGATATATTCGAATATCTTTGAATATGCGGAATGCGTTGTTCGAACCAATGGGATCTTTACTGTTATAAGTTTTCAAAGATATTCAAGCATATTCCAGGCTCTCGGATGGGGCCGGTCTTGGCCATCACGCCAGGCCTGGTCACACGTCATCGCGATGCTGCCCGGCAGTGCCACACCTCGTCGCGGCGGCCCCCGGCAGCGTCTGATTTCGCAGCGCCTTCGAAGTGCCAGTAGGGGCGCTCGAATTCTCTCGGCGGAATTCCGCGGCTGCCCGCCGGCACGGAAAATCTTTCGAGTGGCGCCCCGCTGGTCTTTTGATGCGGCGTGGCAACGCCGGCTTGCGCGATTGCGTTGGGCCCCCACGGGCGCCCCTGAAGCCGCGCACCAAAGGTCATTATAGCTTAGGGCCACCCCTACGTCTAGTCGAAAGGCCCGACACACACCTACCGCTGCAAGCGCGGTGGTGGATACGCTGTGTCGCAATGCTTTAAGAAATTGATATACAAGTGGAACTGATTTTCGCCGCCGGTGCCGGTACCGTTTCCGTTGCTATCTGGTTACAGTACAGTGCCGCGCGCGTCCACGTTCGCGCCTGGGTCTTTCGATTTGGACCGCATTTGTGTAGTTGCACGAGTCGCGCTCCATGGCAGTACCGTGCCAATTTGGATGGCACGTTTAGGGCGTCGCGGGCATGGTTGCGCATTTGCGGACATATCCATAATCGCTGGATCCGTTCATGTCGTTATGCATGCAGCGGTGGTATTGTGAGGCATGCGAGGATAAGGAATGATACTTGAGGATGGGGATAACGGAACTGTAGAGGAGGATCGTGCTCAGTGGCCTTTTCCCCATCCCGCCCACCGTGCTTGGTTTGAGTCAAAGGAGCACGAAATATTGATCCGTAAGGGCTTCGCCCCCTGCCGCCGGCCCCGTCTCTCGGAGAATGGGCCATGGAAGAGCGAAGTCATGAGTCTTTGGTTTTGCCGTGAAGCAGTGTCTGGACCTATTTGTTTTTCGACCCTGACCCTGCCGATCTTCGTGAGGGATGCCGCCGAATTTCAGACATGTGGCAAATCCCTTTTGTGTTTTTTGGACCCTGACCCTACGGATCTGCGTGAGGGGTGCCACCGGATTTCAGAAATGTGGCAAATCCCACGTGTTTTTGGACCCTGACCCCGCCGATCTGCGTGAGGGGTGCCACCGAATGTTAGAAATGCAGCAAAGCCCTTGTGTTTTTGGACCCTGACCCCGCCGGTTTGCGTGAGGGGCGCCGCCGAATTTCAGACATGTGGCAAATCCGTTTTATGTTTTTTGGACCCTGACCCTACGGATCTGCCTGAGGGGTGCCACCGGATTTCAGAAATGTGGCAAATCCCATATGTTTTTGGACCCTGACCCCGCCGATATGCGTGAGGGGTGCCATCAGCTTTCAGAAATGTAGCGAATCCTGTTTATTTTTGGACCCTGACCCCGCCGATCTGCGTGGGGGGTGCCACCGAATTTCAGACATGTGGCAAATCCCGTGTGTTTTGGGACCCTGACCCCGCCGATCTGCATGAGGGGCGCCGCCGAATATCAGAAATGTGGCAAATCCATGATGTTTTTTGGACCCTGACCCCGCCGATCTGCGTGAGGGGTGCCGCCGAATTTCAGAAATGTGGCAAATCCCTTCTGTTTTTGGACCCTGACCCCGCCGATCTGCGTGAGGGGTGTCCGTTTTTATTTCTTAAGGAATTCTGAGAACCCTTCCGGGGGGTTGCTAACCAGTGTGGTTTTCGGCTCCCCCCCCTCGCGCGGACAGTAACAATTTACAGTGGGAAGCAGAAAGCAGTATTGTAACACTGGAAACTGGAAACTGAAACTGGCGCAGGGAGCAGCAAGCTGAAGCCTCGGCAGCCCGATGGCCCCGCAAGGGGGCCGGCGGATATGGATAGTTTTCGAGATTTCCAGGTCTCCCTGATCTTCCGCGCGGGTTCCACGGACGAGTGGTCGAGCGCATTCCGTCGCGCAGGTTTTTTGCGTGATGTGCGAGATGTTTTTTCGCGCATCGGAGCGCCCTCGGAGACTCCAAGCTGCATGCTGTGTTGCTCTTGGGGAGTCCGCGAGTCGCAGCTGCCGTGGCGTCGTCTACGAGGTAGCCCCTTCGAGTGCTGTTCGCGGGCGCAAAGCGTGGCGCGCGTTGCGCACAAATGGCGCGCGGCGCCGCGTGAATCAGCCAGCCGCGCCAGTCGGACCGCCCAGAAATCATTTCTGGATTGTAGACCCTTTTCAGACAACGTTTCCGTTGTTTGGGGCGCAAGCGGTTCCATAATTTTTCGAAAATGAGCCCGGACATTCTCAACAACAAAAGCAGTTTTGAGGGGTGGAATGCGCCCGCCGCGCAGGACATCTGCAGAATCTTGAAATCCGGAATATTTCCCAACCCTCCTGCGTTGGGTATTCGTTTTGAATAGAGCACTGTGGTCTCCACCTTCCTCCTCCTCCTCCCGCCCCCCCCTCTCTTCCCTCCTCCTCTCCTCTCTTGCTTGCCTTCTCCTCTCTCTTCGCTCCTCCTCTTCTCTTCTCTTGCCTTTCACGTCATCCCTGGCGGGCTGCGATCTGCGGACCTGTCACCACTTTCGAGGGCTGCTGGTGGGTCCAGCGGAGTGAGGCACCACGGGGACTCAGATTAGACCTCGCCATCCCTGGGGGGGGGGCTGCGATCTGTGAAACTGTCGCCACTTTCGAGGGCTGCTGGTGGGTCCAGCGGAGTGAGGCACCACGGGGACTCAGATTAGACCTCGCCATCTCTGGGGGGGGCTGCGATCTGTGAAACTGTCGCCACTTTCGAGGGCTGCTGGTGGGTCCAGCGGAGTGAGGCACCACGGGGACTCAGATTAGACCTCGCCATCCTGGGGGGCTGCGATCTGTGAAACTGTCGCCACTTTCGAGGGCTGCTGGTGGGTCCAGCGGAGTGAGGCACCACGGGGACTCAGATTAGACCTCGCCATCTCTGGGGGGCTGCGATCTGTGAAACTGTCGCCACTTTCGAGGGTTGCTGGTGGGTCCAGCGGAGTGAGGCACCACGGGGACTCAGATTAGACCTCGCCATCCCTGTGTGAAACTGTCGCCACTTTCGAGGCTGCTGGTGGGTCCAGCGGAGTGAGGCACCACGGGGACTCAGATTAGACCTCGCCACCCCTGGGCGGCTGCGATCTGTGAAACTGTCGCCACTTTCGAGGGCTGCTGGTGGGTGGCCAGCGGAGTGAGGCACCACGGGGACTCAGATTCTGACCACGAGCAATGCTCGCGTGCCCTTGCTCTGCGGTTCGTGCCACGTGGCGCTGCGACTCGAGCTGGCGGTCGTCCTTCGGACCCGCAGAAACATCTGCTGAGCTCGATGAGCTAGGGGAACTACAGGAAAGAAGTGCAGGAAACGGAGGCCGGTCATGCACTCGCCGATACCTCGTTGCTCTGTCATCGTCTTTGCTGTTGCATGATCCTTATCTGGCCTGCCGGCGCCGCGGCTCGAGCTGGCGGTCGCCCTTCGGGCCCGCGGGAACATCTTCTGAGACAAGTGGACGCCGCCGCCTTACTTGCAGGCACGCATTGCATTCGCGGACAGCAGCATGGCAGACCGCAGTGAGATCCTCAGTCGCGTGGTGTTGCCAAGCCTGGTGGAGACGCGCGTGATCGACCTGAAGTCCCAATCGCGCGTGCACTGTACCTGCGTGGCGTTCAGGCACGCGCGTGATGCTGCTCGCTCCGCGTTCAACCAGTACGTCGCCAGTGCAACTTTGGACGATGGACAACCGATTGATGATACGCGACCCCGGCCTTGAGTTTCTTTCCCGCGGGCCGCCCGCAGACCTGGCGGCGCGCCTGCGAGCGTTCAGCTCCCGCGCTGAAATGTGCGGGAAGGAGGCGGAGAAGCTAGCGGGCGAGCTACGCCTCGCTCGTTCCTTGCACTCTAAACAAGTTTTATCATGTGGAACTCTGCGACGACATGGCGCAGGCAGCGCTGCGGGTTTAGCTCGCGCTTGAAAAACGCGGCGGTCTTCTGTCTCCTCCCGCCACTTTCATCGTCGTCCTAGTCCCCGCCTCACCTTTCTCCATGCATGCTGCTGCTTCCGCGATGGCCTTTCGCCCCCCCGCCCTCCATTCCACCCCTCTCCTACCCCTCGTTCCCGTGCCCGTTCTTCTTCGATCCTGGGGCCTCGAGCCTCGTTCTTTCGATCGTCGTCCTGTGAATCGTGCAACGCATGCGCATCCCATGTAGCTTGCACAGCAAATCGCCGCGTCTACACTGTCGTTGTTCCTGCTAATGTTGGCATACCCCTCTTGCCATTTGATGCACGTGGGTTGGGTACGTCGCAGGGTAATTCAGAATGGATTCCGGAATTTTTCAACATCGATTCCGGAATTTTTCAAAATCGATTCTGGTATGTTTCAAAAAAAAATAAAGACAAACTTGCATGTTCGAAAAACGTTTCCGGTTTTTTTTTAATTTACCCCCGAGGAAATTTCCTGAATCGCGCGTGATTTGCCTTACCAGGTTTTTGGAAACCCGCCGAGGCGCGCGATGCGCGGCGTCGGGCACTGGGACGGTGCGCCACCGTCCCCCCCGCGCTCGGCAACGAGAAGGGGGATCCACAAGTGCAAAAAAAAAAAAACCCATGCGGGCGACTCGATTGCGAATGGGTGACCAACCAGCGGCGCCAGCCAGAGTAGACAATACTCGACGCAACGTGTACCCCGCGCGAAGGTTGTTTGAAATCCCGGAATCCCCGGAACGTATCAACAGCACGGTGTGTCAATATATTCTTCTCGTCCTATGGAGGCCAGCGGCGCAATTTGAACAGTCAAAAGCAAACTCACCATTCCTTGCCATGTTTTTGGGGTGTCCCCATGGAGGGTTCCCAAGACATTGTTCGGAGTAGTGCGGTTTTTTTTTGGGATGCGCGTTATCTCACTGACTTCCATACGTATTCCAAACACTGCTCGAGGAGAGCTTCCTGAGGGGGCTTCTAAGACAATGGCGGGGGCGATGGTGGATTCTTGGAGCGGGATGTGTATCCATGCGAGTTGATACATGATGTGAGTATTCTCCCCAACTGTATCTCGACATTTTCAGCCATGGTCCTGTTGGGTGTCCCGTGGAGGCTTCCCAGGTACATGATCGGCGCGCTACATGTCGATTGCTTGGCTACCACCCCCTCTCTCCCACCTTTCTTGGGCAACGTCCGATCCTAGAAACGCACCGTCGCCCAGTGATGATCAAAGAACCCCCTCGCACGCAGACCACAGTACCGCCGAGCACACCGACGGGGGACACGGATGCCGGGAAAGGGTGCCCCCTCACGGTCGCCATGTCCCCCTGCATCTGGACCGAAGTATTTGTTCAAGGTCGGTTCCAGGGTGGTGGTTTAGTGTTCTCCGTGTTTGTTGGATGTTGTTGTGCATTTTGTGGAGGGTGCCCTTGGCTGTTCTGTGGTTTCTGGCCGACGGAGGGTCTCGTGCTCTTGAGGGATGTTCTTCTGGCCTAGGTCCGACTCTACCCCCGCTTACTTCGAGGGCGGGCCCAGGATTGGGGAATGTTCAACAAGAGTGAAAATATAGTCTGGGGGCGACTTGCCGACAAATATTGTATGTTTGAGTAGTTGTTGATCATTTTTTGTTTATCCTCCAAAATCCGCCTGTAGGAAAACATGCCCGACCTAAACGTGCTCCAGAATCGCGGAATCCAGGAGATCTCCATTTTGTCCTGCTATGTTTTTGACCCAGTCTTGGCTACGTTTTGGTCGGAGTGCATCCACGTGCGCTAACGGCGTTGGGTAGTCGACGAGAAGCTCCGACTTGGCGTCGAACAGCTCGGATCGAGGGTGGAGTTGGCTCCATTAGCGTTGGTTAGCGTCGATGCGCATGAGCCAGCAAAACGGCATGGGATGTCCGGGCGCGTTCCACTGCTCGTAAAGTGTCTACTCGCAAACGTCCGAAAAAGACATGTCTTCCTTTGTTAAATGTATCTTAAAGCCCCTGCAGCGGATCCTGGCCGTTTGTGAGTAATTACTTTGCGAGTAGTGGAACGCGCTTGTCCATGGGAGGCACCGTTGCCACAGAACCATTTGCGCGTCGCCCCCGCGGAGGCGACGCGGACGATTGGAAAACTGACAGTTTGTTAGTTCAGCGGCGGGCGTTTTCTGGCCATTATCGCTTGGGTGACCGTACCATCTTCATGTTGCCGTGCACTACAGTGGAACCCCATTCAAAGAAACACATTGCTTGCCTACAGGGTGCCCTAGGTCTCTTGGGTTCCGATGGTCTTGTTAAGGGAAGCGTGGCTCTCCCACACCAATCACAAGTGGGCGTCCTGGGGTCTCAGGGCTGAGTTCCTTGTAGACGTTTTCTTGTGGTCGAGCTCCTACTGCACTGCCTGATCGGACGCACGCTTCCGGGGGATGCACGTCGTGCTGGTACGCCCTTCTGCGTGCCATGACAGGCCGTCGCGCGTGTGTCCAGGGGGGGGGGCGGGAGGCCGGGGGGGTGCGCGGCTCGCGCTCGGGTCTCCCGCCCGCGCCCCCCGCGCCCGAGGCGCCAGGAACGCGCCCTCCGAGCCGCTGTCGCCGGCGATGGCGGAGCCCGCGCGCGCGCGCGAGCCGCCCTCGGGGCATGTGGTGGGAATGCCATGTCATGAGGGCCACGCCGAGGTTCGGCGGGGGAAGAGGTATCCATCATTGCCGCTGCCCTTGCCTCGTGTTCGCCTTGTTGGGCCTCATGGGAGGCCCTTGTCGCCTCTGGTGAGTTCGCCTCGAAATTCCAGTCAGAACGCACCCCGGGAGAGGTCTGGGGAGTCGCGTTATCGGGACCTTTTTCTGGTTTCTCCCGATAGATCACGGTGTTGCGATTTGCCATTGGAGCCGTTGGAGGCAGTCCCGAGCGAAACATCATATCTGAAGCGGAGGCGCGCTCTGCCTTTGAAAGTGGTGGCCAAGCGAAGCACCATGGTCGCACATCGTGATACAGCCCGAGGACATGTTTTAGAACGGAGCCCGCGGTCCAAGCAGTCTACTAGTTGAGCCCAGAGGTATGTGTTGTGACATCAACGCTTCGAACAGGAATCTCCCTTCATCTGTGGAACCGGTAGGGCAGAGTGTGAATGCCAGTAACTAAGTGAAACGATATGTGCAAAGCTTTGAAGACGTATATGGGCGGCGCCTATGCGAGCGACACGTTTTGATCACGACCCGTAGTCCATATTCGCGTATCAGTTGGTCAGGATTTTGGCGCATATGTGCGGCGTCAAAACGAGTCATATGTAGAAAGAAGTTGTAAAGCGTTCCACACGTGTGATTGTTGGGAATGTTGAACAACACAAGCGCGGCGTTTAGGCTCCAGTCATTTTGCAAAAGACCCGCCCTCTATCCGTGTAGTTGTTGACGTGCCCTTCGGCCCATCCCGCCACCGTGTCTTGGCCGTTGTTCAGAGGCCTCTAATAGACCGCTTGGGGTCACTTGGAGACATTTGGAGGTCTGTTTGGGGCATCTTGGGGGCCTCTTGGAGGATTCTGTCAGCCTTTTTGGGATCTCTTGGAGACATTTGGAGGCCTCTTCGGGGCCTCTTGTTGGCCGGGAGGCGATCGCGGGGCTCATTCTGGGGTGGAGGGCTCAGCAAGTCAGTTCGTGTTCCCCCATCTTGGGGCCATGCCCCTCTTGAAGGCCCCGTGGGCCGTCTATGGGCGATTTGTGGGGGGTCCATTGAGCCGTTTTGGGCGATTGAACCGAAGTGGAGTGACATATACTGGACTGGAGTAGACTGGATTGGGGTGGACTCTACTCCACTCTGCACTATTCTACCCGACTCTACTGTACCATTTGCTCTGCTCTATTTTACTCTGCTTTTCTCGACACCACTCTGTTTTACCTGCCCTACACAACTCTACTCTACTCTACCCTACTCCACTCTACTCCTATTCTACTCCTACCCTACTCTACTCTCCTCTACTCTCCTCTACGCTATAATGCTCTGGCCTAATCTACATCATTCTACTCTACCCTACTCTACCCATACGACCACCCTTCGGGTGATAAGGAGGTTCGGGGGGGGAGGAACCAACGTCTCACTCGATCGATCTCATTATCGATCTCACGATCGGTCTCGCTCGATCGATCTCACTCGATCGATCTCACAATCGATCTCACTCGATCTATTCCATTCGATCGATCTGACAATCGATCTGGCTATGGATCTCATCACCGATCTTACTATCGATCTCACTATCGATCCCACAATATATCTCACATTCGGTCTCACCATCGATCTCACTATCGATGTCACAATCGATCTCACAATCAACGTCATCATCATCAACATCATCGTCATCAACGTCATCAACATCATCATCATCATCATCATCATCATCATCATCATCATCATCATCGTCATCATCATCATCATCATCATCATCATCATCATCATCATAATCATCGGGGCACCATCATCATCATCACCTCATCACAATCATCATCAACATCATCAGCATCATCGCCATCATCATCGTCGGAACACCATCATCGTCATCCTCATCAACATCATCATCATCGGGACACCATCATCATCATCATCATCATCATCATCATCATCATCATCATCATCATCGGAACACCACCATTATCATCATCATCATCATCATCATCTCATCATCATCATGGAAACCATCATCAGCATCAGCAGCATCATCATCGTCAACATCATCGTCACCATCATTTTCATCATCGTCATCGGGATACTACCATCATCATCCACATCAGCATCATTATCATCGGGCCACCATCATCAACATCATCATCATCACTTCATCATCATCCTCATCATAATCATCATCATCATCATCATCTGGACACCATCGTAATCATCATCAACAACATCGTCATCATCGGGACACCATCATCATAACCATCATTACCAACAATAGCATCATCCTCAGCATCATCATCACCATCGGGTCACCATCATCATGATCATCACCATCATCAAGATCATCACCATCATCCCATCATCGCATCATCATCAACATCCTCAGGATCATCAACATCATCATCATCACCGGGACACCAGCATCATCATCATCAGCAACATCAGCATAATCAACAGCATCAACATCTGGACATCAGCATCATCACCACCATGGCCATCATCACCATCACCATCATCATCGGGACACCATCGTCGTCACCATCAGCATCATCGACATCATCATCATCTTCGGGACACCATCAGCATCATCAGCATCATCATCAGCGGACTCTACCATCATCATCATCATCATCTCATCATCATCATGAACTACATCATCAACACCATCATTATCGGGGCACCAGCATCATCATCAACATCAATATCATCGGGACACCATTATCATCGTCACCATCATCATCATGATCGTCACCATCACCGGGACACCATCAGCATCATCAACATCAGCATCGTCATCATCGGGCCAACATCATCAAAATCATCATCATCATCATCACTTCATTATCATGCGCATAAACATCATCAGCACCGGGACACCATCACCGTCATCATCATCATCAACACAATCATCATCGGGGCACCATCATCATTTGGGACACCATCATCATCAACAGCATCATAGCCAAAGTCATTTTCATCATTATGTGGACACCATGATCATCACGTTCATCATCAACACATCATCTCATCATTATCAACATCATCATGATCACCAACTTCATCATCATCGGGACACCATCATCATCAGCAACATCAGCATCATCAGCATCATCCGTCATCACCATCATCATCATCATCGGGATACCATCATCGTCATCATTTTCAGAATCATACAAATCATCATCTTTGGGACACCATCATCATCATCATCATCATCATCATCATCATCATCGGAACACCACCATCATTATCATCATCATCACCATCCCATCATCATCATCATCATCATCATCATCGGGACACCATCATCATCAGCAACATCATCATCATCAAAATCATCATCGGGACACCATCATCCTCGTCACCATCACCTCCATTACCATCATCTTCATCATCTGGACACCATCATCATCAACATTAACATCCGCATCATCATCATCATCGGACCACCACCATCAAAATCATCACAATCACCCTAGCATCATCCTCATCATCAGCATCATCATCATCGGGACACCATCATCGTCATATCATCATCACCATCCACATCATCAGCACCATCATCATCGGGGCACCATCATCATCATCATCACCATCATCATTATCAACAACATCATCATCAACCTCATCATCATCATCATCATCGGGTCACCAACATCATCTTCATCATCAGCACCACCATCTCATCATCCCATCATCATCAATATCAGGGGCACCATCATCATCAACAACATCATCATCATCGGGGCACCATCATCATCATCATGCGCAACATCAGCATCACCAACATCACCATCATCATCGGGACACCATTATCACCACCATTGCCATTATTATCAACAACATCAACGTTGTCATCATCCTCATCCTCATCCTCATCCTCATCATCATCATCATCATCATCATCATCATCATCATCGGGACACCGACGGGGCACCGGCGGGACACCGGCGGGACACCGCGCGCCACGGGGCCCCGGACAGAAAACATTTGGTCCGGCCGCGCCTCAGCCAGAGGCGGGACACTTCTCGCCCGCCCACGCGGTTCGCCTCGCCCGCACGCACGGCACGCACGAACACGAAACCGAAACCGATTTCCCCGTAGGGGGGCTCTCCGTTCCACTTCGTTCTCACCCACCCCACCTCCGATTCTACTCTACTGAAACATTTGCTCCCGTAGCCATTCTTTGCTCAAGGCGGTGGAGCCCGTCCCACGCTGCGCGCACGGCGCCTCGCCGAGCGGCGAGTGCGATGGCGGCCCACGATGTCGGCGACGTGGACGCGCGGCTGCGCTGCCTCGCGGACTTGCCCTTTGGCTCACTCGGCGTCCGGGGCGTTCCTGGCGGCGGCAGGCTCGGGGGCGGCCGCGGGAGGCCAGCCTGAAGGCGGCGCTGGCAGCGACGATCGGGACCCCGTCGGCGACATGGACCTCGTGCTGGCGAGGGTCAAAGCCGTCTCGGGCCATGAAGGGCAGCGGATCGCTGCCGACGCGAAGCTAACGCTGCGGGCTCTCGGTGTTCGGGGAAACGCGGCTGCCACGCGGCCAGGCAAGCTCAGCAAGCTCCGCAACAGCAAATCCCAACCCCTCGCTCAACAGTTGCCAATGGAGATCGCGCAGCTGGCCGTTGGAGTTGGCGCGGACGTCGTCTCGCCGGAAGGCGACGGCACGCTTCCGGCTTGGCATCACGGCTTGCAGCAAGGTCCCGGTGGGCAATGCAGGTCCACAGCCGCTCGCGCAGTGGCTCCATGTGGTGCGGAACATCCCCTTGCTAGACTCCAAGGAGGAGCAGCCGGAGTTGCGGGAGTCCTTCGAGGAGATGTTCAAGCTGAAGGCGGGCGAGTTGGCGGACATCACGCGGGATGATGACCAGCAGGAGGCACATACCGTGGAGGTCGTTGAGGAGCTCAAGCAAACGATCGTGCAGATGTTGGGCCAGCAGGACGCTCAGATCGTGAAGTTCATGAGGCATTTCAGCCACAAGTGCCACGCGATGGACAGCCCGTAGGAGGGGCTTGGCCCAGAATATCCCGGACGACCTGTTTGCCTGCCGAGGCCTTGGAGGTGATGGGGTTGCAGCAGCGGCTCGAGGATGAGGCCGCATCGCAAGCAGGCTTGTTCGACATCCCCGCGGGCGAGACGGCAACCACCAATTTACGAAAAAAATGCCCCGAGTTGTAGGCAGCGGCGGCCAGGCCTGGGGCTCGAGCTTGGAAGGCCTGGCGGCGATTTGGCCGCGAGCACGGGCTGACCACCCTCGTGGGGGCAACTGTCGGCAATCTCGGCTCCGACCCTATCCTGTGATGTTTCCCTCGAGTCTACTTATCCTCCACCCTGCTCGACCCTATTCGATTTAACCCCTACTCGTCTCGACTCAAAAAGCCCGCTCTATCCTACTATCTTCTGTTCTGCCCCGCCCTGTTCCGACTGCACTCTGAACGTTTCTGCCCAACCCTGACCATGCACTCTTCTCGACTATGTTGTGCAATGCTCTGCTCTCGGATAGTCGATTTGCGAGTGTGACGACTGTTGGCCGACTGTTGGGGCGCCCCTGGAAGAGCCGCAGGAAATCAATGCCATAGCAAAGGAAGGCAATGCAATTGTAGAAAAAAAACGCTGCGCTCGCAGAGGAATGCATTGCTAAACGGAGGAAGCCACTTTCATAGTTTGACGCCAATTAGAGAGGGGGTTGGGACTAGTGGACTCAGTTGCCATACCTTGAACAATGATTCCTATATGCGCGCCGACTTGGCAAATATATGATATCAGAGGTATGCGGTTTGCCAATGAATTTGGCTTCTTGGTCCCCCAGGGCTTTTATGACGGCCCACGCCGCCAAGATCGGCGCTCATGACAGCGCCGCGCTGCCGTCCTCGAGAGGCGGAGGCCCGTAGCCACGAGCCGGAGGGAGGAGGGAGGAGGGAGGAGGGTTGGAGGCAGGAGGGACGAGGCAGGAGGCAGGAGGGAGGAGGAGGAGGAGGAGGACTCTGGATGTTTTGCGCCTCGGACCTCCGAAGCGAGCGACAGCGCGCGAGGGGGGGGGCCGACGGCGCTCCGGAATCCCCAGGGCACGGGAGTCTCGGGAGACTTGAGACGGGGGTCAATACAGACGGGGGTCAGCCAGGGCGCCAGATCCTGCAGGATCCTGCGAAGACCCCCTCTGGCTGACCCGGGTTAGGGAGCCGCTTGTGGCCGCGAGGCGGCCGCGCGTATTGGCTGACCTGGGTCTGCGAAGACCTGCGGTGCAGCTTTTTGTTTTTCCTGCATTGCAGTTTTTGGTTTCCTGCTGACCCGGGTCTGGATTGACCCGGGTCAGAAGATCCCCGAGAGTCTGGCCCCCCGGGGAAACGCCAGGTCGATGTGTGAGGGTCTCGGGCAGACGGGGTCGGAGGATCGCACCGCATCGCCGACGCAGCGGCGGCGCGGCTTGATGTGGAGCCCAGGCCGACGCCGCCGAGGCATCGCCGACGCATCGTCCTGGCGCATCGGTGGTGCACTGGCGACGCGGTGCGATCCTGGCCTGGTGCGCGGGGCGCGCCGAGCTGGTGGGCCAGAGGGAGGCGCCCGAGCCCCGTCCCCAGGGCTCGTGGCCGCAAGTGTGGGTAGTGAGTTTCTCCCGACGCGCAGGTCTCATGTGAATCTCACAGGCAGGGGGGGAGGGGGGGGGGGCGGGGGACGAGCGTCGAGGGAACCTTTCCTCTTCCTCGTCCACATCCTTCTCCTCCTCCTCCTCCTTTTGTTCCTCTTCCTCATCCTCCTCATCCCTCCTCCTCCTCCTCCTCCTCCTCCTCCTCCTCCTCCTCCTCCTCCTCCTCCTCCTCCTCCTCCTACCCCCCTTGATGTTTGCAGAAGTCGAAATGCCCTGGGGCCTGTGGGAGGGGGGTATGAGGGCTTCGGGGGGCCCCACAGAGGCCCCACTCCAGAAAAGCCCTCCATCCCCCAAGGGCCGCGGCGAGGACGCGAAGTTATTCGCGGCTCGCGGCTCGCGATTCCTCATCTTTTTCCCCCTCGTCAATTTTTGTGCCCTGTGCGGGGGGGGGGGGGGGCGCGAGAGCGCGAAGCTGTTCGCGCGCCGTGCTTCGCGAAGCCCGAGGCGCGAGCCTGGTTGTGCTTGGCCCCCGGGCCCCTTGCCCGCGAGGAGGTGGTGGACGTGCTGGCGCCGGGCGATGTCGTCGACGAGGAGGCGCCGCCCGCGCCTCCCCCCCCCCCTCTTGAGGGGCCACGTTGGGGGGGTGGGGTCGGTTCCGGGGGGGGACGCGTCGACACCCAGTCGCCCACTGATTGCCGATCCAGGCCCGAGGGCCCGCTGCGCCCAAGAAGGATCGGATTTCGCTCTCGGGGGCCCTGTCGCCGATCAGTCGGCGATGCCGCCCTCCAGCCCGAGAGATTCGACGTCGTGGTTCTCATGCAGCGCGGCTCCCAAGCGGTCCGAGACCCCCAAAGAGATAGAGAATTAGTTCGGCCTCCAGGGGCCCAAGGAGGACTCAGAAAGAGAAGCCTGTCCTGGGGAGTGGGTCAAGTCTATTTGCTCGCCTCAGGGTTGGCAGGCCCGCCCCGCATCCTTTTCAGAGGAGGACACGTAGGTGCCATATCGATGGCACATCGGTTCCGTATCAGTGCCGCGCCGATGTGCTTTTCTCCCCCCGCTGGGGGGAGGGGACGTGCCGGTGCCGGGTTTCCTACTCCCATTGTTCTCGCTTTGTTGTCGGAGAAACGTAAGACTCGAATGCGTTGGAACTCGGGTTTGCCCGGCGCTTCTGGATGAGCGCGTCCTGGATTTGGGCGGCCCAGTTTCCATGGGGTGTTTGCGGCAGAAGCTTCAGGCTGGGTCTCAGAATCTTCCTGACGGCCCCGTCAGGCCAACCCGAGTCCGCCGACCCCGAGTCTTGCGCATCCACGATGTCTGCCGGCGGGCGATGGCGTGCGAACAACACACACACACACCCGACCCCATAGTTAGTGGGGGCAGATGGAACTACAGTCAACCCGTCTAGTAAGGCTGGGCAATTTTCCCAAGGGTACCATTGCATCTTTGCCCCTTCCGTCCATCCTTAGCGACTTACACTGGCCAGTCTCGTTCGAAAAACGCTCGCGTGGTCCTCCGAGGCCCTTGCATCCTTACTGACTGTATTCGGGGGAGCGTAAGACCCAGGTTTGCCAGGACTCGGGTTCGCCATCGTTTTTTGACAACTGCGCCTCGGATTTTGACGAGGAGGAGTTTCGTGGGATGTCTGGGAGTTTCGTGGGATGTCTGCAGCGGGAGGCCTCGTCAAAATGCAGGCTCGGCCTCGTCATTTTTTTGACGACCTCGTCGGGGATTTCCGAGTCCCCTGTACCCAGGTCTTCCGTCCCCCTGATGTATGGGTGCGTGTTGTCGAATGGGGATCCCCGCTTGAACCGGAGCCTCCCTCATGGACCGACAACCCGCACCCATGCCGACAGCCAGTCATCCTCCCTCCGACCCCTCTTCGGGTGTGGGTGAGTGCTGTTCGTTCGTCATGGCGAGGCGCCGCCCCCCCTTCCCCTCCCAAGCAGTGGCGAGGCGCCCGTGTCCCACCAAAGAGTGCTCTGAGAGCCTCTCGTGGTTTGCACGGCATGTTCTTAGAACAGTTCTGGCCAGGACCGTCTTGTTTCAACACATCGGCTTTGTGCTCTAAGAGTATCGTGTCTGTTATTGGAAGGCTGTTCCGTTCTCAGAACCTTTCAGTGGTTGGCCCATAGGATTGCCGGGACGGTCAGTTCTTGCGCCTCGTCGGCGCCACCCAAAGTAATACCATGTGTGCGTCGCCTCCCCACCCCCCGGGGCGACAGCGCGCGCCAAGAACTCTTACAGTATAAATTGCGTGGCGGGCGTTGTCTGGCCATACCGCTCGAGAAGCGATATACTACAAGGTGGTCATATTGCATGTTCGGGTCGGACCCACTCCTAAGAGGAGGATGCAGAGTACAAGTATGTCCTCGTGCGTCCCAGCTTGGCCGCCGAGGGTCGGGCAAGCGTCAGTCTCGTGTGCGCCCGAGCTCGGGTTTGCCGACGCAGTTTGGCGAGCGCGCCTTGGGTTTTGACGGCCCAGCTTCCGTGGGGCCTCTGCGGCGGGAGTTCGCGTCGAATTTCCGGCGGGGCCTCGGCGTTTTCGTGACGGCCCCGCCAGGCCCACCCGCGTCCCCCGAACCCGAGCCTGACGTCTCCCCGACTGGGGGGGCCGCTGGCCCGCCCCGCCCGGGGACGTGCGGTGCCGCTGTCGGGGGCACGTCGTCGATCTGCCCGCGGCGTATCGACGATTCCAGCTCGACGTTTCCCCCTCCCCCCCCCTCTAGGTCTCCCAGACGGGGTCCGAGCAGATGGGGTCGGAGGGTCGCGCCGCATGGCGGACCCATCGGCGATGCGGCTCGATGCGAGGCCCGATCTTCTCCATGCCGACGTCGCCGATGCCGACGTCGCCGATGCCGACGTCGCCGATGCCGACGTCGCCGATGCCGACGTCGCCGACGTCGACGATTTACTCGGACCCCGTTTAGGAGCCTTTACTGATCCAGTCGCCCCCAATCGTTGCCCCTCAGACCGCACCTCCCAGGGGGGAAAGCTCGAGGAGGCGCAGACATGGGTCGAGGCGCGATGCAAGGCGGCGGGCCCCGCTTCCATGCGAAGTCGGACACGGGTCAAGTCGCGATGCTCAGCGGCGGGTCCCGCTCAGTCGACGCGCTCTGCCGCCAGAGCGGGCGGCATTGGTTCCATGTCTCGGGGCTACGATCCATGGATCGGGCGCCCACGTGCCAGGTCCACGGATTCGAAGTCCGTGTCGGCGTGCGCCCGAGAAGTGTGTGGGTGCCTGCTGCCCGGCGGTGCTGAAAAGGGGGTGGGGGTGGGGGGGCGAGTGGGGTGGGGCGGCCTGCAAGGGCCCGTGTCGCCGTGGCCGGGTCTTCCTGGGAGGCCCAGGAAGCAGCCAGACCCATCGGTTGTTGAACGTCGTCTTTTGGTTCTTGATCCCATACATCCCGACATACGTTAGGCACCATCCTGTTTCGAGCACCCCGGCCGCTCCGGCCCGCTCACCGCGGAATTCTTCCGCTTCTGAGCGCCTACCTCCTTCTCCCCCCGCGCGGCCGCCCTCTCCCCCCTCCAGTTCTCTCCCCCCTCCAGTTCTCTCGCACGCCGGACATTTTGCCAATCAGCGCCCCCAGTTTGCCACACGCTGGTGCGGATCGCCTCCGCCTCGCTGCCGACGAAACAATGTTTCGAGCAGTCTCGAGCTCCGCCTCGCTGCCGCCTCGTGCCCGCCTGTCTCGAGCTCAGGGCCGTAAGAACAGGTTTTGGGTTGATGGGTTTGGGGGTCCGACTCGCGAAGAGATCGTTACGTCGAA